TAACGTAATTAGTTACTTTTTTATGGAGTAACACAATATTGTAACGCATTACTTTTAAAAGTAACTTTCCTCAACACTGATCACGACTGTGTTGCTCGGAAACAGTTCTGCTATTGATCTGTTTGGAACTATTTTCATAGGCAAAATAAGGAAAATAACTTTTGTTTCGATTTAAAATGTAAATTTAAAACACTGTGTATTTGTATAAAATAAATATCACGTTTGCAATCATGCACATATTTGTGAAACCAGCTCTCTCGCTCTTGTGATATTGCTATCATGTTATAATATAAAAAACAAGATCTCATGCAAGTACTTTTTTGCAGTCATATATTGCATTTTGTGGGCATTTGTAGCTATCAGTTTGGTGACACGATCTACCGTTAACAGTAACAAAAAAAATCTAATTAGAAATACTTTTGTGCTTGCATTTGAAGCAGGAATTTTTACACTCAATCACAGTAATGATGTTAACAAATAAATCAGACAATGCACATGGCAGTTTAGAGATGTCTGCAGTTTATATAATAAATCCTGAGATCAAGACAAGACTGAGACCTTCAAAAAATGGTCTCTTGTACTACAGCACTAGTTGTCACATCTCTTCTGCTGCAGTTGCTGTGTGAAGTTCTGTAGAAATGTGTTGAAGAGGTGGAGGAGATTGAATTAACAGATGTCTGACAGCAGCTGGAGAGCCGTGAGACACGACAAGAGCGACAAAAACAAAGAATCTGTTCAACATCAACAGGTCGGACACAGTAAGATCAGCTGCATTCATCTCCGTATTCTCATGACAGAGAGGAAGGATCTGATCTGATCTGATTTTCCTGTGCTAGATGTGAACTAAACCGGTGCGCAGCTTTATCATGGATCTGACTCCGTTTTCCTCCGACGATGAAGATTTCCACAAAGAAGAGACTGTTTCTACACATTGAGAAGACAAAAGTGTGCACTTTAGAAAATCTAGTTAAAACTACTAAACCCAAAAGACAAAAAACCCAGGTCCAAAACTATTAACTGAGCTTTAAGTATTTATTTTTTCTGGGGGGTTTTTTGTTTCTGTTTTAGATTTTAATAATTGTTAATATTACCTCTGACAGTAATTTAGAATCACATTTCCAAATGTTTTTGAGCTGAATGACAATCTGATGACTGATGTGAACCTGCTGTCATTCATTCATTGTGTTCTGCATGTGGTCAGATGTGTTGTGTGTGTCTAAATTTAGTTGAAACTTATTCAAAGCTATTTTAAAATTACTTTGACTGCACATTCTATGCATTATATTGTTGGTATGACTGAGCATTTATATTGATAAAGAATTTGCAGCTTGCTCGCAATGAGTCTGCAAAAAGAAATAATAAAATAGAAGTAAAGTTGCAGTAAATTAGGAAAATACACTTTTAAATTAAAATTAAAATGGAAAAATCAAAACTAATTCAAAATATAAAAAATTTAGTATTTCAAAGATACTAAAATAACATTGCTATTTAAACAATATATTTGTACCCCCTTAAAAGGTACCCATAATACCCCCTGTAAAATAAATAAAATAGAAATATAATAGAAAAACATATTCACCAGAATAAAATTACATAGAGTTGTGTTAAAAATAATAGCAGTCCAACATCAGTCAGTGTTTTTGGTGGAAATTATTACTATTACTATTATTTTAAATTTCACAATATTACTGCTTTTGCTGTATTTTGAATTAAAATAAGAAATGCAGGCTTGGTGAGCAGAAGAGTATTATTTAAAAACAAATCTTACTGTCCAAAAACTTTTGACTGGTAGTGTATTAAATCACAATTAGTGAAACAACAACAACGTGGTAGGTTGTTCAAAATTAAAATAGCAACATAAAATCTGCAATAATTAAATGTAAACAACACAAATATGCTTTATGTATTTAATCCCGTTCTATAAACTAATGTCTTTGATTCTGACCTTCGATGATTCAGTTCAGCCGTACTAATAAACACTAATTACTCTAGACGAACATCTGTGTGTCTTTGTTTATTGCTGAAGTGTTGGAGCTGAATGACAATCTGATGACTGATGTGAACCTGCTGTCATTCATTCATTGTGTTCTGCATGTGGTCAGATGTGTTGTGTGTGTCTAAATTTAGTTGAAACTTATTCAAAGCTATTTTAAAATTACTTTGTCTGCACATTCTATGCATTATATTGTTGGTATGACTGAGCATTTATATTGATAAAGAATTAGCAGCTTGCCTAAAAATAATAGTAAAATAAAAAATTATAAAATATAAGTAAAGTTGCAATAAATTAGGAAAATACACTTTTAAATTAAAATTAAAATGGAAAAATCAAAACTAATTCAAAATATAAAAAATTTAGTATTTCAAAGATACTAAAATAACATTGCTATTTAAACAATATATTTGTACCCCCTTAAAAGGTACCCATAATACCCCCTGTAAAATAAATAAAATAGAAATATAATAGAAAAACATATTCACCAGAATAAAATTACATAGAGTTGTGTTAAAAATAATAGCAGTCCAACATCAGTCAGTGTTTTTGGTGGAAATTATTACTATTACTATTATTTTAAATTTCACAATATTACTGCTTTTGCTGTATTTTGAATTAAAATAAGAAATGCAGGCTTGGTGAGCAGAAGAGTATTATTTAAAAACAAATCTTACTGTCCAAAAACTTTTGACTGGTAGTGTATTAAATCACAATTAGTGAAACAACAACAACGTGGTAGGTTGTTCAAAATTAAAATAGCAACATAAAATATTAATAAAATGCCAAATGAACTTTTAGCGAGCGTTCCTCTCTCATCTCGCGAGAGTTGGCGCGGGATCTGCGCTCTGATGTTTCCGGGAACCTGCGGAGAGCAGCTGGGCCGAAGTTCACCGCGTCCTCCTCATCCTCAGCCTCCTCTACCGGGGGATATTCCGCTCACCGGGACCGGCTTCACTCGCTACGGAGCTCGGGAACTCATTTACCCTTACATGAGAGAGACAGTGAGCGCTGACAGACGCTTTAAACCTCAGCAGACACTCGGACCGATGCTAGCAAGCTAACAGCATCCTCTCGCGCGGACCGGGAAATCAAAATAATGTCTTTATTTATTACTTCTAGTTCATTTATACTAGTTTTATAAAGTGAATGTGCTTTTTTCTCAGGCACACGTGTGGTGTCATGTGTGTTAGCGACAGTAGCACATGTTGTTTATAGGTTACAGGTGATTTTACGGTTTGTTGACAAGCTGTAAATCAGAGTTATTATACAGTAAAGCTCAGTCTGAGCTCGCCTTACATTAAAGGTCTCCTCAGCCTTTTCAAGCATCAGCCATGGCTCCGAAAAAGAGACCAGAGCCCATAGTTCTAACCGGATCCGGAGAGGCACAGACGACCTCTACATCCATCGATGCAGCTTCAGAGTAAGTGTGTAGTGCAGGAAAGAGAAGATTGTGTGCATGCCACTTGACATCTTTCTCTTGATGTAATCTCAGAGCGAATCTTGAGACCCTGCAGAAGAAGCTGGAAGAGCTGGATCTGGATGAGCAGCAGAAGAGGCGTCTGGCAGCTTTTCAGACGCAGAAAGCCAATCTGGGCGACCTGAAAGATGATGAATTCCAGCATATCTGTGAGCTGGGAGCTGGAAATGGAGGTGTGGTTAATAAAGTGTGCCACAAACCCTCTGGCCTCGTAATGGCCCGGAAGGTGAGTCGCCAACATTTTTCATTTGCCATTTTCAGTTTGACAGAAGGGTCATTCCGTGTCAACTCAACCAGAGGTCCCCGGCTCAAATTTTAGATTTTGCTAATATTTGTTCTGAAGAAAGATAGACTTGTATAGTGATGAAAGCCAAAATATTAAATGTCATGGATGAATATTTACTGAGTAATCCACTATTTTGTAGATGGGGTCAAAATTTTGGAGATTCAGAGTCACATTACAGGGGGGTACAAATGACTTCAGAAAGATGGCAGCATTTTCACAGAGATTAGTAGGTCTGTTAGTAAAATCTGTTGACTTAGGCAATCTTTGTTGCATTATGTGCCAATGGTGACCATTCAAAAATGGGGAAAGAGCACTTTTCAAATTGTTTCTCCAAAGTTTGCATGCCTGTAACTCAAGAAGTATTAAAGATATCTTAATGCCCTTTTAGATATTGGGTCTTAACAAACTTTCCTTTTGGCGTCTTTATTTTTAAGGCCCTATATGGTTCGGTTCCAGAGATATTGGGATTTCAATATGGCTCCAGGAGTAAATCGTTAAAATGTACACATTTTCAGTGGCCAAAAACCAAATGTGGGTCAGTTTGCAAAAATATAATGCTTTTCTTTTCTTTTAAAGAGGAATATCTGAAGAACAAATAATATTGAAACTAGATGTGTATCTTGTTTACTTCTGTCAGGACAACTGCATTGAACATACCTGTCTGAGTGCCATAAATATTCTTTTTCCAAAGTTTGCATGCCTGTAACTCAGAAAGTATTAAAGATATCGCAATATGATTTTAGATTCTAGTTGTTAATTAACTTTTCTTTTGGAATCTTACATTTCAAGGCCCTACATCGTTCAGTCCCAGAGATATGGGGTCTCAATGAGGCTCAATGTCCGCTATTTAGAAGAACTCTTAGTGGTAAGATCAAATGTTTTGTGAATACGGGCCCAGAAGTCCCTCTGAGATTTTAAGTAAATAATTTCATAATTTAACAACACTGACACATGCTTGTGGCTCTCTGATGTTGTTTAACAATGACATGATATTCAAGTAAAAACAATGATAATTCGTCAAACAATGTGTTTTTCCTTAATAAACATATACAAGGTGACATTTACAAGCAGAATAATTTAATTTATTAGAACACAAAAAAAGTACAGTGGGTGTTACCTCCGCTTCAAACTTAATTATGCAATTATTAATAGGCCAAATTTAAGGAAACATTTTAGAACCGTCTAAAACATGTATATACTGTACACTAAAAATTGTATGATCAATAAGTCATGACAACATTAACTTATCAATTTTCAACTAATTTAAATAAGTTATACAAGACATTTGTTGTACCAATTAAGAGGTTTAAGAACTTTTATGACATTAAATGTAATGAAATTGTTTTGTTTTAGACTTTTTAAGGGCCTGCTGGGACTTTTATTTGCACACATGCTTCTAAACGCATTGTACCGTTTTTACACATCTATTTTTGGTCACTAATATGAGGGCAATGCTTGCACTGTCAAGCCCCGTCTAAACTAAAAACTGAAATAAGTCTAGAATGTGCTAAAATAATTCAGTCAAATTCTGTCAGTATCTGTCAAAAATAATATGAGACTGTCTTTTCTTGTTCACAGATGTGAAACCTTCAAATATTCTGGTCAATTCCCGCGGGGAGATTAAACTGTGTGACTTTGGCGTGAGCGGGCAGCTCATCGACTCCATGGCCAACTCTTTTGTAGGAACGCGCTCGTACATGTCGGTATGTTTCCACTGGTGTTTTAGAGAGGATTAGATGTGACGATTGCAGGGATTAAAGTTCCGTCGCTACGACAGATTTCCATCAGTTCATAAAGACAGTCACTTGCTTCATTCCTTAATTTATTTGTACTACGGAGGTGGCACAGAAGTACACAAACGTGGCTTGTAGGTACATTTTCAGACGTTTAATGAGGCTCAGAGTAGAGGTCTACACGGGTCCAAAAATTCGTACCCGAACCCGAAGAGACCCGTAAATGTGCTACACTGAACCGACCCGGACCCGTCTCTTACTTTGAAAGTTGGACCCGGGCCCGTGCAGAACCGAGAAATGTCAAAAATATACTACCCGGAACTGACGCGGACCGTCAATTATTTGAAAGATGGACCCGAACTCGTCCATAAACAAGTTGCGAAAATTAAACGTTTTGTCTTACCTAATGTAAGAAGTCTTCTCCCTTGTACCTGACTGTGATGCACACAATGCTCCTTGCCAAGAAAGTTTGTAATCCACTCATTATTCCGGTTTCAAAAGTCCACTTGCTGTCACGGTGACGGATGACAAATGCGATGTTGCAGTTTTTGTATCTCGAGTCAACTTGCATAATAATCTAGACTGTTTGCCCATTTGGATTATAATAACGATTGCTCATCCCGTGCCATGGCTGCTGACGTTAGCTTTACTTATTTGCTATCATCTCTGTGATCACATCACTCATGAAGGTATCCATTATCACTGTGAGTGTGCATTAACTCCGCCCACCCTGCTTCTGATGACGTCGCTCGTGAGTTTTTTTTCTTCTTCCTTATTTCAAATTACCGACACTCACTTTTCTCATCCTAATTTTACAAGTTGAAAGTTACAAAACCCACTTGCTGTCACGGTGACGGATGACAAATGCGATGTTGCAGTTTTTGTATCTCGAGTCAACTTGCATAATAATCTAGACTGTTTGCCCATTTGGATTATAATAACGATTGCTCGTCCAGTGCCATGGCTGCTGACGTTAGCTTTACTTATTTGCTATCATCTCTGTGATCACATCACTCATGAAGGTATCCATTATCACTGTGAGTGTGCATTAACTCCGCCCACCCTGCTTCTGATGACGTCGCTCGTGAGTTTTTTTTCTTCTTCCTTATTTCAAATTACCGACACTCACTTTTCTCATCCTAATTTTACAAGTTGAAAGTTACAAAACAACACACGCACAGCACTGACTGACTCTGATAACGGCCGGGCGTTCTCCGAGTCCGATCGACTCGGGTATTACACACAATGTTAAACAGACCCAGGACCCGAAGTAATAGATTGGGACCCGACCCGGACCCGGCTGACCATTTAAAATATAGCCCCGAACCCGTACGGATCCCGAGCCCTCGGGTCTTGGGTCCTCCGTGTAGACCTCTAGCTCAGAGGTAGCATGAGTGCAATTAAATTCATGTGAAGATTAATGTTTTAAATATAAAATTTTTAATACAGAAATATGATTCAAATAACTGAAATGATACGCTAAAAATAAAACTAAATCCGCCAGCAGGTGGCGGCAAGTCATTGATTTTATCACTGAATCATTCATTCAATTGATTCGTTCCAACGGCTGAATCATTCAGGAACGAAGCAAGTGACTGTCTTTATTAACTGACGGAAATCCGTCGTAGCGACGGAACTTTAATCCCACCGATTGTGTTTAAGTATACGTTTGCTTGAATTCCTGTTATTTGCGTGTGTGTGCATTCATGCAGCCGGAGAGGTTGCAGGGCACTCATTACTCGGTGCAGTCAGACGTGTGGAGTATGGGTCTCTCTCTGGTGGAGCTGGCCATCGGCCGCTATCCCATTCCTCCACCCGATGCCAAGGAGCTGGAGGGCATCTTCGGCAGGCCAGTGATGGATGTTAGGGAGACAGAGACACACAGTACGTCTGCTCGACCCAGACCCCCCAGCAGACCCGTCAGCGGTGAGAAAGCCTTTCTTTATGGATGGCAGCAAGAGTCTTTGTGGACATTTTCTTATTTGGCTGTGATGGAATTTCTGTGCTACTACAGTCACCATGATGGAACTGCAAAAATGAGTTTTACACTACTGATCAAAGGTTTAAGATTTTTTTATAATGTTTTTTAAAGAAGTCTCTTCTGCTCACCAAGGTTGCATTTATTTGATGAAAAATACAGTAAAAATACTAATAATGTGAAATATTATTACAATTTAAAACCGCTGTTTTCTATGTGAATATCTGTTAAACTGTAATGTATTTCTGTGATGCGCAGCTGTATTTTCAGCATCATTACTCCAGTCTTCAGTGTCACATGATCTTCAGAAATCAGTATAATATGCTGATATATAAGAAACATTTCTGATTATCAATGTTGAACACAGTTGTGCTGATTAATATTTTTGTGGAAACTGTGATGCATTTTATTTTTCAGGATTCACAGATGAACAGAAAGTTCAGAAGAAAAGCATTTATTTGAAATAGAAATCTTGTTACATTATCAATGTCTTTACTGTCACTTTTGAGCAATTTAATGTTTCATTGATTAATAAAAGTATTTAAAACAATTTCAATGTTATACACCCCAAACTTTTAAATGGTAATACATCACAGTTTCCACAAAAATATTGTGCTGCACAGCTGTTTTCAACATTGATAATAATCAGAAATGTTTCTTGAGCAGTATATCAGCATATTATACTGATTTCTGAAGATCATGTGACACTGAAGACTGGAGGAATGATGCTGAAAATACAGCTTTGATCGCACAAATAAATTACAGTTTAACAGATATTCACATAGAAAACAGCTGTTTTAAATTCTAATAATATTTCACATTATTAGTATTTTTACTGTATTTTTGATCAAATAAATGCAGCTCTGCTGAGAGAAAAGACGTCTTTCAAAAACGTAAAAAAAACTTAATTCCAAACTTTTTACTGGTAGTGTAAATTCACAGCAATGAAAATTACTCGCATAATATTATGTTGAATGCCAGCAGGTGTCAGTATAAGGTCACGGATCACTGTAGTATCGGTTGTTTAGGAAGAACATAAAGTTACTCATTGCTCTGTTACCAGTAAACTGGTGTGACTCATAGAGCGTCCTGTTCTCTTTCAGGTCACGGGCCCGTCATGGCTATATTTGAGCTGCTGGATTATATAGTCAATGAGGTGAGAGTCTTTTCCTTTAATCACATGCTTAAGTTTCAGATTGAAAGCTTGGATACAATCTAATAAAAACTACTGTCCTGAAGCTGACGTCTGTGTGTCTAAACTAATAGAAGATTCAGGCTGAGCTGATGACAAATTTCAAAATAGTTTTGAATACATGAACGTCCAGAGTAATCAGGCAGTCATCATAGACTCGATATTAAGAAAAATGCAAGTATATAGAAATGCATAACGACTTTGAGTGTGTAGAGCACTAGTTTCCAGTGCAGGGCTCTTTAAGTCACTATTGATGTATAAGTGTGAATGAAGAATTTTATATGTGTGTTATCTATCAGCCGCCCCCTAAACTCCCTCATGGCGTCTTCACTCCTGATTTCCAGGACTTTGTGACCAAATGGTGAGTGTTGTTACTCAACAGGTGAAATACAGCACATCTTTGATGTGTCGTCACACGTAATTGAGATCTTGGGACATAATTTCAGCTGTTTTCTTTGCGTTTGTCTTCTAGTCTGATTAAAAACCCTGCAGACCGAGCGGACCTAAAGATGCTGATGGTGAGAGCACATTTCTTATGTTTTCATGCAAAACAATATAAAATCAAAATGGACTCTGTTTACTTTTATGATAAATGTGCTTGATCATACAGTGTCTTATTATTATTATTATTACAGAATGTAATATCAACCAACCATATCATGTCCCACTTTTCACAATCCAATCAAACCTGTTTAGATAATCTCAAGTCTTGCCGATTAAACAGAACATATAAAAATAACACCGAATTCAAAATATGAATTAAAACTGGAATAGCATCTCACTGGGCTGTTGTTGGAGTCAGACGCAATCTCTCTTTTCCAGAATCACACGTTTATTAAGCGCTCAGAGGTGGAGGAGGTGAACTTCGCTGGATGGTTGTGTAAAACGGTGGGGCTCAATCAGCCCAGCACACCCACCCAAACAGCTGAATGACACAAACACACACTCTCTCTCTCTCTCTCTCTCTCTCTCTCTCT